ACAAAAAATATAGCCTTTTTTCAGCTCAAAGCTTTACTCCTGTAAATCTCAGGAAAGAAGACATCTACTCAACCTAAACATCTCTGCCAAGAGTTTTAGTGTGGATCCCAACCTGAGGCTTTACAGCAAGATCTGAGTGCTTGTACTTCTAATTCAGTCTGCAAGGTAAATAGATATGAGAGGATGGCATGGGATGGGATGGGGGGTTGGATACTCCTCCAAGGGTGCTCAGGTGTGGTGTCACCTGACTGTGATGGCAATTTCCTGTAGCTGTCATTTAGTGGATTGCACACTAACCAAGCAAGCTGACCTCTTTCTATGCTCAGTGCTGGTGTTTATTTTGAGCATGGAGCAAATGGGAAATATTGTCAGCTGTTCCTGCTGTGCCATAGGGTATCTGCTCCTCGACATCTGACAGCTCTCATGTTTATTTTCATTAACATCAGTAGCAACTTACTGCCCACCTTCCCTGTGTGCTGCCTACAGCAGGTAGGACAGTGGTGATACCTTGAGCCCACGGCTCCTTCTGCACCCACCTGGCACAGGAGTAACTAAACATGAGGCCAAAGGGGCCTGTGCTCTCCTCCTCCACACACAGGAACACACTTTCCCCTCTGTGGAGCTTCTCAGTCATAGACACGTGGTGTAGCCGCCTGTTCTGGCTTGCACTTCTTTATCTGTCACAAAATGTGTTTAAGAGTGTGGGCTCCATAGGTATTAATTGTTCCTACATGGCTGTATTTTTGAGGAGGGCAGAGAGAGAGAGCTAATTTGATTAACAGAGAAAGAAAAGGTTAAAAAAAATATCTATTTTATCTTTTCATAATTTGTGTGTTCCTTTAGCCATATGCTGATGGTTAAGAGATGTCAATAATACCCCCCCTCAAATTCTTAGCTCTCACATTTTGCTTTGAATTATTTTTCCAGTACTAGTGACCAAGAAAATAAATGTTTGCACTCTCTCTATGCTCAGTACCAGATAATCTATTTTATTTAAAATTTAGATCTTAGAGAATCAAGTGACTACTGAATGATTCTGAAATTATGTTATTTAAGGTAATAGCTATTTAGTGTTAAGAATGCTGGTAAGCTTTTGGGATGAGGCTGGTTGTAATTAAAAGTCGAAGACTTCCCTTTAAAAACCCTCAGTAAAAATATACTGATTTTTCAGCAATCTGAACTTCAGAATTGACATGTTTTCAACATCTTCTCTGACTACTTCATGACCCTGTGGACTCTAAAACTACACCCAGAGCTTATTAGTCCAGAGCAAAAGTCAAACTTTGTTATAAGCAGAATTTAAACAAACCCTCCCCCCCAAAACAAAGCCAAAACAATCAAACAAACAAACAAACAAAATAAAAAAAACAGGCATAGGAAAACTCTTAATAGCTGAAACATTTTTATCAGTTTTGCTCCCCAGGGCAACAACTCTGAGTTTTGGAACATCAAGTCAAGGCTGTTTGGTGAAGTGTGATGCTGCCAACATCTTCTTGGAGGATAGAGACAGAGTCAATGGAAAATGGCCCAGCATTACATCACAAACAACAGCTCAGTATCCATGCTAAATTCAGTGAATCTGAAATTAAAGATACAATGGTGTTCTTCAGCCTCCACTCAGTGGGCTATTTAAGGGGTGAAGAGTTGTGTTTATACAAAAAAAAAAAAATAAAAAAAAAAAATAAAAAAAGGCAGGAAACTTAACTTGCAGCCTTCATAATACAAGGAAACTCATTGTTATAAAGTTGCTTACATTTCTTCTGTTGCCAGCCACGTTAACCTATTTCTCAGCTGGGTTAGAAAAAGTGCTTTAATAACAGCAAACCAGATAGTGGGTGGGAGTGAAGCAATACAGTTACTCTGGTTAATAAACTAAGTCTGTTACAGAGACTTTATTTTGGCACTGGCAGATTTTTGCCATCCTCTTTATAACAACAATAGAAGAGGAACAAAAATCTCTCTTTGCTAGACTAGCAACAAGTACAAAATCATTCGGAAGTGTATTAGACATACAGGGACATACTTGTGTTGCTGATCTGTCTGGATGGCCTCCAAAAAAGCCAGTTGCTTGATGTAGGTCAGCCAGAGTACAGAGCTTTGCATGACAAAAAAAACCACAATACAGTCAAAAAGCAAGTGGGTATTTTGCCCTTTATTGTCCATTGGCCATTGTTCTATTTTTGAGCTTACTTTACTACTGTGGTTTTCGTTCCTTTGGATTTTAATTAAATTCTTAGGCTTATTAGCTTGACATTTTCATCTTCTTTTTTCTTTTTTTTTTTTTTTAGTTTAAAAATGAAGGAATCCTGTTTACTAGGCCACTTTTCCCCAAGTCTCAGTCCTCTATCCATAATTTAAATAGGTCATTAATGCACAATATCCAAATAAAACTTTGTGAATTTTGATCAGGAGGGTATAACAAGCTTTTGACTATTTTGAAACTGATTATGACTCATTATGTAAAATACACATGGTGTTCACAGCTGTGCAGTAATAGAAAAATCTTAGTTTAAGCCTAATGGTATTGAACTCTGAGCCAGATCATATCAAAAGTGTTTGATGTTGGCTGCCAGGTGACAACTGGGTCCCCACTAAAATCCAGAAGGCATTTTGCTGTTCCTTTCCTTGCAGCCAAGATTTCAGCTTGTTACAGACAGCAAATACGAATTCCTTTTCTCTTTGCTTTTCCAATTTTCTTCTCCCACACAAATCAATCTTGCACTCATTCAGATTTATTAGATTTACTCTCTAATCATCATGCTATAACTGAGAACAGAATCAGACCCAGCAAAACATTTTGCCTTCAAAATAATTAGCTGCATTCTACAGAGTGTCCTATTTCTGTCCAGCTATATATGCTGTCAACCTATATAGTGAATTTACACAAGCTGTGTAACAAGAGTCCTTTTATAACATGGACTACCCTGACTAGAGAGAGCCTTATAAAGACAGAGCACCACACTTGGATAATTCACGTGCATAGAATCCACATACAGACCCAAAGTTATTGACCAGGCAGATTAAGTTTTTCTGATCATTACACTGTGCTTTTTTAAAAAATAAAGTGCTATTTGATTATGGCTAAACTATTGCATGCACAGTTCAGGCTGCATTGTCAAAAATGAAAACACCTTGACCAAAAATGATGGAGCCTAAGCACTAGGGCAATGACAGTTTTTGTTGGTTTGTTTGTTTGTTTGCTTGTTTCCATTTTAGTTTACATTCCAAGAGAATTTTTGTCCAACATAGAACACGTGAACACACAACACTTTCCTTCACTGTTCCCCACACAGAGCTGTTCACAGAAGAGGAATATTAAGGAGGAATGTTTCTAAAGCCACAGACAACTTCTCCACTTATTTCAGGTTTTGTAGTTTATCTTTTTTGTTTGTTTTTCTTATATTTAAAATTATGACAAAACATTATAAGAAAAGCTTTCTTTAAGTAGTGAGAATATCAAATAGTATTTGTCAATCCCTGAATCATGCTATTCAAAGTGCTTAAATCTACACTAAAAATAGGAGAACAGAAAAGTACTTCCCATGTGGCTAAGAAAAGACCTACCAATTGTCTAAATGTGATTGTGGTCAAGTAATTACATCCTACATTTATTTCATATCCCAGTCTTTACACCAGGGCATGTAAAGGGAAAAAAAAACCAACTAATGCATTGCTTTCAGAGCATCCTGGGGTAGTTGGGACAGTTGTGTTTTAAGCCTGGATGGAAATTAGGCAGCTCACTGCCACTCACTCAAACCCTCCCCTTCTCCCCCCGTCAGCCCAGTGAAAACCAGGACAGGCATCCAGATGAATGAAGGAAAATGCCATCAGTGCCTGACAGGTGTCTGTAAGAGCAAATAAATAATAGCTTTCTTGAAGAAAAAGTGCAAAACTCTCTTAAAATTTTATGTGACCTGGCAGCCTAATTTCCATTTTGTGGATGTTTGGCACATGTCAAGAGACACTATAGTAAAGAACAGACTGTAGAAAAGAACTTGAGCTTAATCTCAGAGAAATAAGCATTTTAAGCAAATAAAAGTCAGTGCACACCTCAAAGGTCTATTAGCTTCTTATGCAGATACTGCGATTTCTTGACTTTCACAACAGGAGCACAGTCATTTCCTCCCACACTGCCAGTTCTGGATTGCTCCCACAAACATCCTCCAACCTACAGCTTCTCCACTCACTTCTCATTAAGAAGACCAAAATATTATAAAAGCTATACTTTTCTCCTTGTGACAACCATGACGAGCAAACCCCACATCATCCATTATATTGGCCGATATCATTCAGCTGCCATAAAAATACCTAAAGCTAATTAATTACATAAATAGACTCTAAGGCCTGTTTGCCAGGACACCAGTTGGGATTCTGCCAGGGCAAATCAAACCCATGACTCTGACAGTGTGCTGCAACCAGGAGTTCTGCTCCAGCTCCTCTGCTTCTGCCAGCAGGGACGAGCAGAGAGCTTGGCCTGAATGTTCTGCAGAGCTGCACCACTCCTCTCTCTTTCTAAAACCAGAAAGGACTTTCTGTTATTTAAAACATAAGTATGAGCAAGGTGCTTGTTTAATTTGTCTCAAAGATGTCTGGATGTAAACACAGTGGTGGGCTTTTCATCTTCCCTGTCATCCATGATACATGCATTATTTGCAACTCCTCAAAGATAGAATCATACATAAAAATAAAACTAATTTATTTATTCATTAAAGTGAATAAATTGTTTTTAATACTTCCAGGTCTGATTTAAATATTAATTTTGTATAAATAAAGTTTATTCTGAAAACAATTATATTTCTGGTAATCACGTCGTTTTTTCTGCCTGAGTTCTTACTGAAATCATGTTGAAATTAATAAAGTTTTATTTATCGTTACAAGCTAAAACCAAATGAAAGAAGATTTCTTAATCTTGAATATATAATTTTAAAGCAAATACAGTTTTTGGAACATTAAAATACAAGGGACTCTGAAATCCACAGGAAAATAATGTTTTGCTCTTACTTTTTTTTTTTTTTTTGAAAATAACACTTTCTATAATACAAAGTGACAAACCATCTACAATACTTTATCATTCTTTTTCATTCCCCTTTGGTTTGGAAGTCATCACTGTACATATCAGCAGGACTCTGCACTTCTGTGTCTATTGCCTTACTTGTCTTACTTGCCTGACATTTGCAAATGTTATTTGCAGGACTTTGAAAGTTGAAAAAAAAATAAAAATTGAGTGCTTAAAAAATAAAATCCACAACCACATTAATACTTTTTCCCGGATGTGTTAAAAATAGGGTTGCTTTTGTATTTATAAAAGGGATACAACCAGCTCATTCTTAAAATAAGAATTAAGAAGAAAACAAACCCAAAAAAGCAAAAACCAAACCGGCTATAGTTTCTACACACTCTAGTGACTACTGTGAAGCAACCGATACAGATTGGGTATTTTCTCTTGTTTGACAGGTATCTACCAAGTTACATGTTAGATGATCAGACTGTAGTGTTACCCCAAATGGGGGTCTTTGTAAGGGCAGGGAAGGAGCAGTGCACATTATGGGAGTAGAAATGAAACTGGAGCTCTCGGTGAGCAATGGGGTCCTTCTAAGAACAAAAACTCTCCAAAAGAGGTGAGCTGCAGCAGGCATAGCTAGGCAGGCCAACAAAATGGATGGTGCTTCTGATATCAACATAGCTTTGTCCAAGCATTCCCAAGAGAGGTTATAAACAAACAAACAAAAAGTCTAAAACTATACTAATGAAGCAAAAAAGTTTCCTATCTATACAGCAGTCTCTTCATTTAAAAAAAAATGTAAATATACAAATTCCAATGACATATAAAACAAAGTCAAAAATGTGAATGGGAAGAGACATGGGTAAAACAGGAAGACTGATGCTACAAAGAAATTGCAAAAACATATGTACAAGACCCTGTTTTTCCTCGTTTGTTATCGATTGTAATGCATGTTTAACAGCAGCAGTCGAGGATGTAGTTCCAGGCACCAGACTGCAGACTCTGCTCCTACTCAAGGGGGTTGACAGCCCCTTGCATGTCGGTCACCAAATGACACTTGATATACTGGTCTCCCGCGGCAAGAGGGGCAGTATGGCACTGTTTGTGTGAGCCTCTTCGGGGTTCTGCTCCCTGTTAGTTTTTGTCTGCGGCCGCTGCCCGTTTATAAGTGTCATGGGGATGTTGCAGTAGGTGTGCTGGTTACCTATTGAGGTAAGTGGCAGGGTGCCGGCAGGAGGTACATCGTATTCATAGCTTCGATAATAGTGTTTCTGGCGCATCTGTGAATGATATGTGTTATGAAAGGTGGAGCGCAGGTCTGGATGGGCAGTGGCAAGAGCAGTGGAGGTGGCAGCGGCCATGGAAATTGCGGAGACTGTCTGCAGTTCCCCAAAGGGCCCCTGCTCACTGACATCTAAAACCTGCTCGTTTGTCATGGGTTCAATCCTCTTAAAAGGCATTTCGTACTGTAAACGTTTCCAGAACTTGGAATTCAACTTGTTGCATTTTGGTCCGTGCCATTTAATGACAGTGAGGAGCTTGATGGTATGTTTTAGGGCCTCAACCTCCTGGTAGTTCATAACTCCTCGGAGTTCACTGCACTCAATCAGTATCACTTTGATTTCTCCTGTGACTAACATATTTCGAAGCCTTGTTTCCAGTTCAAAGATGCTCCAACCTCTTCTTACCACATAACTTGGAGTCATGACGATGATCAGTCGCTTGCTTTGGTCTACACATCTTGCCACATCTTCAATGTAGGCTACAAAACAAAACAATTGCTCAGAAAAACAATATAAGAAAACAGTCTGCTCTCATACACTGGTGAGGAACAAGAGGCAAATCCCTGCTCCCAGAAGATCTCACTGAAATATGCAAAAAACATCAATTGCAAATATGCCAGGCTGGCCTGGCAGAACATGGTCTTGAGCAACCTGCTGTATGTGGACCTCCTTCAGCAGGGAGGCTGGAACAGATGACCTCCACAGGCCCTTTCCAACCTCAACCATTCTGTGATCCTGCAAAACATCTACTCCCACACATGCTATGGATTCTGAGTGTTTGTTCATGAGCTGTGGCTTTGTATCATCTATGTCACTATAGGAATAAATATGTCCATCATGATTTTTACCTTTAAAAAGGCAAAGTCACCCAGTTAGACAACAGAGCAGCAGCCATGTGCTTCAGGACCTCAGTCTCAAACCCAAATTATACTCTAAGTTTTTTGTTAGGCTTAAACTCTGTTTTTCTTTCATATTCCTGCCATACACATTCATAAAAACAGTGCTGTCTCCTGTGAATTAGTCTTAGTTTGCTGTAAATTTAAAAAATATCCATGAGATTGTTTGATGTTCTATATTGTGCTCTGTCTATACCAAACATCCTTTATCTTTCATTGAAGGTATTGAACTTAGTTGCTCTCTATATGGTTACACTGAAGTCATGAAGAATATTACAAGTGACAAAACATTACTGTACTTATGAAGGAATATGTGAGAGAAACATGAAAAAGATCTACTTGTACCAGTGGAAACCAATTCTAGTGTTCAGTCTCTGAGAAGATCCACTACACATTTGTCTACAGTAGACACTGACAGAATTCACCGCTTTTGTCTGGTGTAGAAGTTGTTATTCAACTATTGCCTGAGTTCAAAATCAACTTTTTGTTTCTTGTGAAATTTTGGTATTATTTATAAATATAAATTTATATATATAAAAATATATATATAAAATTTATATATATAAATTTGTGTGAATTTCTGTATTACTTAGACTCATGGATATTTTTTCCAAACAAAATCTAAGGAACAGAAAAGAAAGAACCTGGTATTCATTCCTAGAGATGCAAGTTCTCAAAAAAATCTGAAAAATGTTAGTCTCTTTCATTTCCTTTACTTATGCATGCTCTTTCTGTGCTATTTTACCACCAGTTAAAACAATACAATTACTGAATAATAATCCTCTTTCTGGGAAATGCACATTAATGTTGGTGGCTTTATCTTCAGCATTCTCTAAGACAAGGGAGAAAAGATGACATTCTGAAGGAGTAGGTAGAGAAACAAGACTGAAACAATCACTGCAATCACTTATTTTCTCCTTCCAAATCACATGAGAATAAAGACATGACTTACTTCCTGTGGGAATCAAATCTCTGTCTGGTATGAACAACTTGTATCCATAATGCTTTTCCAGCATATCTGGTAGAATCTCAAGAGCAAATCTTTCTTCCTCTCCAGTTTCTTGATTCCACTGGTCAGGATCCACTTTGGTATAAGATAGATATGCATCATAGTCTTTGTTGTCTAAGGAAAGATAGAAATTCAGTTAGCTTATTCCATAGTCTAGTAGGTTTCCCAGATATTTCCCCAGGTATTATTTCTGGGAGAATTTTCCAGGAATAGGAAATGGTTTAGATAAAGTGGCAAGCTTTCCCCCAGTCTCCAGATATGCATCCATTGAGCTTTCCTGTTTCACCTGGTAGAGATAATCCTTAGTTACACAGATGCAAGGAAGGAGGGCTCCATATCCATAGGCAGAAGTCAGTTTATTTAAGAATCTGGATGAAGGAAATCCACTCAAAGGCAGAGTGACAGCTCATGAGCACCAGTCAAAAGTCACTGAGAAGAATTTGCATTCTTCTCTAGCATAAAAGGAGGAAGAAGAGCATGGAAATAATTAAGCTAATGTGTAAATGTTAAATACTATGCATAGTAAAAGCATTTCAGTCTTGCCAAAATTTTACTATAAATTTAGGACCTGGGGCTGAAATGCTCTTAGTGTACATATAGTATTCCTTGTAAAACTCTTTAACTCTCCAGGTCTGAAATTATTGCCAAGCTTAAATCTTTGCAGCATCAGCTCCTGATGTTGCAGTTTAAGTTTCTTGAATTCTGTGCACTTAAATTTGCAAATTTAATGTTGCATTAATGTACATTTCATTACTTAACAGTGTGTTACTTCAATATGAGAAATAACCATGCCTGAGTTTTAAATGTGCTTGGTGTGCCTACTTGAAAGACTGAATCAAAAGAGCCACCATTAATTTTCATTAGGAGGTCAATAATGCCAAGTGCTCTGGAACTAATTCAGTGGAATAAGAGGTCACGTTTTGACTTTTGTTGTGAAGAAAGCAGAGGAAAATCAATGACAAGAGTAATGAAATGTTAACATCCTTCTAACTCTCTTGACAACATTATGAACGGACTACCCAGAATATCAATTGCTTGTAAGAGAACTGACTGAATACTCTAAATTCTGTGTCATAAGTAATGTTATATTCAGCCAGTGCTGACTTCATTTATTTATTGAGCCACTGCTTTCTTCATTTTACACCTTTTTGTAGTCTGGTAGCATTATTTTGAAAAGCCTGCCAGCTGTAGGGTGGATGCAAGGAGTGTAAATGAAATTAATGGAGCGGTGCTAATCTTGAGCAGTCTTCAATCCCTTCTGAGGAACCATGTGCACTATGCTCATTAACATTTGCAGATGACAGAACAAATGTGGTTGTACTGTTACTACTTTTAAACTTTTTAAACCCATGAAATGACCATGTGCTCTTTCTGTGCCCTGCACATCCTTTGTGGGATATTATCTATTGGATTGTTAATAGCCACAGAAAAAAACCAATAAAACCAACAAAACAAATAAAAAACATCAACCAAAACAACAGCAAAAAAAGGAAACTCTGAAAGAAAAAAAAGAAGCACTGCCTTTTACAGTTCACAGTTTCCATGATTTTTTGGGAGTATTTATGAAAACATGCCTTTTAATAACAGACAAGCATCTCCTGCCTTTGACAATGCCTTAAAATAAGACTGATTGGATCAAGTATGATATAGAGGGACATACACAGCAGGCTTTTGTTTCTGCATTAGGGCAGTGTTAATCCAGCAAAAGAGTTATCACAGGGTGAGGCCAACAAATATATGAGGAAATTATTACAACTGACAAAATGCTGGTGTTGCAATGACAAATTCTATTGTTACCTCATTATGGTCATGACCATGGTACATGCTTGAGACCAGTGCTGCTCTGTTCAAAGTCTTTGAGTAAAGATGAGAAGGCATCATTTTTCAAAAGGATAAATAATAAAAAATAATGCAGAATTCAAACTGTTTTAAAGGCTGAGTATTGTTTGTTAAAATAGTTTGCACATCCTTACTTGGAGAGGAAATTATTTGTGCTATGATATTGTTTTACTGCATGTGCAAATATCACACTTAGGCATGTATTCAAAGTACACATTTTTCATATAATGGAGGCTCCAGCACCTCCACTGACTACAGCTGCATCATCCTGTATTGCAGGGAAAATATCTTTCCCTCCTAGTTCTATTAGTGTTTGTAGGGCAAAGAATGGTTGGGGTCTAGGATATATCTGAAGAGATGTGTTTGGGCATCAAGCATGGGGAAGCCCTGGGGAAGTTCATCAGAATAAGGTCAAATGCAGCTTGTGCTCAGGGTGTGATGCACTCAGTCCACAAAGGTTTCAGTCAGCCCCAAAACACTGGTACTGCAAGAATCCAGGCAAAACAGTGAGTTGCAAACTGTCCTATCACTTCAACCATTCTATGGAGATGAAAGTGAGAGGTTTGTAAGTGAGAAATGGTCATGGGACTACACTCAGCCACAGGTTCAGATAGACCTTAGGGGTAAACACTGAGGGTCAAATCCCATCTTCATTAATAACACATGGAAAGATTACTTCATTTAGATTCTGGCCAAAACACTTGTTGCTTCACTGGAATATGTATTCTTTAATACTGCCCATTCCTTTTGATACTCATCCAAATGCAGAGTATGCTCTCATACTCCCTGTGACTTTCTACAATGTTAATCCAACAGAAGTGATATAAATTCAAATGGGATCTTTGGGTAAGTAAATTGCTATCAGACATCTAAGAACTCATCTGTATGCATGCCCTCTTAACAGCTACACATGAAGAAATGATAAGCTGGTGCCTACAGAAAGAAAGATAAAACTTCCTCTTCTACAGGGACCACCAGACAGATTTAACATCAAATTTGCATTATAGATGTATGTATTTTCTACTTACTTCCATGTTTCACTGCAAGAAGTCAACAGTTTGTGCCTTTAAGGGTTTATTAGACTTAAACACTGAAGATATTTCTGCTAATGGGGGACAGAAAAGTTATATACATGCATAAAAAATTAAAAAAAAAAATAGAGAGAAATTTTTTCTTATCAGTCATGTTCGAGCCAGTGACAAATTCTGACTTTTAGCTGGCAAGATACATTCTAGCACAAGACAGATTAAGAGAGCAAAACAAGGACAAATTCCACAATGCTACATTTTATAGTGAGCCTTATTTCAATGAAGCCCTAAGACCTAGGCAGTGGAGTCAGCTCATGTGTCTGTGCACCCTGAAATGCTCAGAGTAGTTTGCAGTGCCTTCAGAAACATCCAGTGCACTGGAGGCAGCTGACCACACACAGGGTGCTCCACAGCTCAGCAAAATCTTCCAGATCTTCTGGGCAGATCTTCCAGACCAACAAGGAGCTGGACAGCTGATTCCTCTCCTTCAGCAGAGAACATGCTCTCTTAAATGCTCAGATACTCATACAGGAGTTAGGAGCAGTGCACTGGTTTAACTCAGTGTTTCAGGATTTCAAGGGGAGCTTTGGCAATAGGAGATTGGATCCCCCCAAATGCCACAGGGAGCTGGAATCAAACTGATACAGGAAGCTTTTGTCTTAAAAAAACGTGCTATGTTCAGGAAGGGTTACAAAGAAGCTTTCAAAACTTCTCAGACTATAGCTGCTTCAAATTTATGGCATTTCTTAATCTGTATTTGCTTCACTATTTTGGGGGCTGTATTTAATATATACATTGGGATAGTGGTTATCCTTAATATAATGAAAAAATATCATTTAATGCTGAGTTGAATAAAATGCTCAAATCCTAGGTCTTTCAAAATACTTATACTTTTCCTCACACTATTTGCTGTTGCTAATGTAACATTTTCTATTATTTTTAAATGTCAAGCCCTTTTAATGTTAATAAAAATTAAGAACTACCCATACAATTTTTGCCATGGCATAGTATATTTAAGTGTAGCATTCCTTATGACAGTTCATATTCTTGTGCAAGGGAGTGATGCTGAATTGTATGGTAGTGTCTTTTTTTTCTTCTTTACATCTGAAGTTTGTAACCTATAACAATATCTTAGTTTGGAATCTAAAGATGATCTTGGTAATATTTTATTTTTAGGATAAATATTTATCATATATTACACATGCACTTTAGGTGCTGTGAAATAGGAAGAGAGAAAAAAAGCAGGAATTTTGCTTTGAATTAGCACATTTCATGCATAGAATCTAGAAAATCCCATATTCAGTGGAGATATAAATTGAGTTTTTATTGTTTGAATTGCATTTCAGATGTAAATAAATAACATAAATAAGAAGAGTTAAAAGAAACAGTTTTCCAGCAATAAAATTGTAATTAAATAAGAGAAAAATCCTTTTTTGTAACCAGTAATGTTTAGAAAGAAGAGAGATGCATTTTTCTCAGGTGATTTAAATAGAATTTGAAATTGATATTCATGGAGCAGGATTTCTTATCGTCACAATTTGCCAATAGCCAATAAGAATATATAAACGAGTGGTAAGACTGTTATTGAAAACTTATTTTGTGTGTCCCCAGGGAAGATTCAGTAATTGCAAAGTCACTAACTTCAGCAGTAATTTCAGTCTAGCTATACCTGCATAGCATAATCATTAACGCAAGCGCTTTGGTGGTGCTTAAACCAATGGTAAAAGTTATATTTGAAAGTTAATAACTTAGTCACACAGAAACCTGAAGAATCTCAAAGCACTGCCATTCCTTGCTGCTTAAGAGTCTCACTGGGATGAAACCCAGGAAACCACTAAGAAGTATTTCTTACCTGCTCTTGTCCTGGACAGTTAATAAGATATTATCTGGGCATTCCCATAGGTTCATCCATGAGCCCTGCTAGTCTTTTGCAGCTAAATAATAGCAAGGACAAAATCATGATTACATAAGGACTCCCAGGTGTAACAGGAACTACAAGGAAGAACCAGTTTCATCAGTCTCCTAATTTGAGCATCGATTTGCTTTCCCTCAACAAGAAGTAGAAATTCATCTCTCATGAAAGGGCAAACAGCCCAGCCAAGAAACAGTGGAGATGTCATGTACCAAATCCAAATGAGATTTCCAGAACTGAGAGAGCTCAGCAGTGGCACATTTTAATCTTATTAGAAGCACTTTGCTTAATTTCAGCAATGTGGTGGAAAAGAAACACACAAACAAACAGAAAAAAGCAGTCACTTTCCCTCTTTCAGAACTGAACCTCCCCAGGCCTGGGCCTGGTTGCCTTCCCTGTGATGGAGCTGCACAGAGGCCGTGGCTTCCTTCAGCTCACCGAGGCTTCCATGGCAAGGAAAGCTGAGAAGAAGACTGAGGACACCATAATGAGCTCCTGCCCAATATTTTAGAAACAGCTGATGGAACCTAATGGCACCAAGGGTCATTGTGAAGGCCATAATTTCAGCTCTTAAAGAAAGCTCTCACTTTCTAATTATGAGTTGCCAACGTGCTTCTTTTTTTCTTGAGCCTAAAGCTTTACTTGTCAGCATAGATGTGAAAAAGGCTATTTATGTAAATTTCATTAGAAAACTATCTACAACGGATTTAGTCAGATTTTGTCTTTAATTACTAGTTTTTGCCAGCCTCCTAATGCAAAATTTCTCCTTTCTCCTTTCTCTTACTTTTTTTTTTTTTGGATTGTGTTCACCTTTGCTTATTAATTCCTTGCTAAAATACTTCCACCAGTTTAAAAGGTTAAAAATTTACCCAGGTAATGGTAGTGGCAGGTACCTGCAAACTGTTTCTACTATTAGCTTTACCATATGGTCCTGCCTCTGCAACTAGAATCTAAACCACAAACAAGTAGAAGTTTTTGATTACTTGTGCCTATCTCACCATGTCCGATGGTTTTTAGCCTGTCTTCTATAGACTTCTGGATTTATCCATAATGTAAATTTAAACTGGCATACAGTTATCCACATATGCACTGGAACCTCTCAGATCTCGAAATGGCACAAAAAAAAAGTTGGAAATAGTTGTTTTGGTCACTTTGAGCCTCCTATCCACTCTGAGGCAGGGTTGTACCTGGCATTACTGAGAAGTGACTCCCCACCCTCACTGTGGCTGATGTGGCTGTCATGCCTGGGGACTGGTCCTTGCACAGTTTGGTGCGCAGGAATGGTACAAAGGAGAAAGTTGTCCCAGGTAAAACAATGGGAAAATTTCCACTGATTTTAGGGTGCCTGGAAGTCAGCTTATATCTTGATAAAGAGCAGATTTCTATACAGTAGTAATATCTCTTCTGATAGAAACAGCTTTTAAGGTCACAGAGTGCAAGCTAGAAAAAAGTCAGGGCATGTGTTGATCGCAGGTACTTGTAAATGGTTATTTGCATTTTCACTCTGTCAGTTAAAGTACAATATGTCTTTTCATAAAGCCATTTAATAACTGGGAACAACAGCAAGAAAAGGTCCTTGGAAAATAAAAATACATGAAAAGCAACTGCTAAAATGCTCCACACAGAGTGAATATGATATAAAATCTCTTTTGTTGTAGCTCAATGTACAACAAAATAGAATAAATCATCACTTCTAAAAGTGGCTTTCACTAATATCATTTTGTCCCTAAAGTGTGCTTTATGGACAAGGCTTTTTAAAACAAGCTTTTAAGTTTAAAGCTGTAAAACTATAAAGGTTACCTGGCATTTGACAAAGATTATCCCTCAGAAGTTCCCATGAAGTATCTACTTCTGAAAATGCTGTTGTTTTCAGAACAGTACAGGACATTTCTTTGTTTCCATAGCACTTCAAGCTATCATCTTTACTGCGTATGCGGAGAGATCTTGAACTGGATTTTTCTTAAACAGATTTGTGAGTCTCTGACCACCAAACCAGTAATGGTTCATTATGGTTCAGAGATGCAAGGCCATGCCAAACACCTGCAGGTGAAAAAGCTCCTACTTTTCCAAGGGTCAGAGTGTTTCTGTAGCCCCAGTGCTCCAGTGCCTGGGAGAGGTGTCCTGACCGGACGGGGCACCCTGTGCCACTCCGCACTGGAGGACACATCGTGGTGTCCATCACGCCATCCCCACGGCTGGAAAGCACAGGTGTGGAGTCAGAGGAGAAGCAGCAATATTACTGATATTACTAATGTTCCAAATTAGTAGGAAAGGCAGGGAATCAACCACAAAAACAAAAAGAGGGCTTCAATTCCCATTCCCAGGACTGAGCTGCAGTGTCTGCAGGACAGAAAGAAAACAGAAGAGTCTTGTCCTTAGACTGAGAAAAAACACTGGGAAATTCAACACTGTAAGTTAGAGAAATGAGGAATCGACAGCTGTGTCACTTGGTTAATCTGCAGTGTCCCTACAGAATGTAATAAATTGAGTTGCATTAGCTGTAAGGGTTAAATACTTTGTTTTCAAATACTTCTCACAATTTGCCCATGACTCCCACAAAAATGCGTATGTTAGTTAGCCTTAGAAAAATTGATGTGTCTAAGGCTTGGAAAGGAAAAAGGAATTGTGATGAGATTTGACATCCTGAAGGGCTTGTTCTCTGATCAGGGAAGAAATGAAGCATTGAATTTTAAAAGAGATTTTCAACTGAAAATTTTAATTGGACCTCACCTTTAAAGCGTTTCAAATCCTCTCTGGGTACAATACAGCACACATAAAAAAAAGACTGTGATATTTTGATGTTTGCTCATCTCCATGCTGTCCTGAAGTATGACAGAACATGGTGTAAATTATGAATAGAACGTGGGCGCTCTGCTGCTGCACTGCAGGAGATGCGGTTAGAATAGGATTTTAGAGTTCAGCATTTTGTGTCTGTCAATAACAAACTAAGCCAAAGGAAGGGATCTTGGCAATTTATTTCTGCACAAGTCATGTCCTGGGCTTCTGTGGAACTTTTTCTCTCCATCTTCCTTCTTTTGCATGCATGCAAGTGAAAGAGAAGATTGCAGTGTGCTGCTGCAGTCACTTCATTAGCATAATGGGTTTTATCCATGTTGCCAGAACATTGAACACAGTGCAAGCTACATATTTTCATTAGGAATTTGTAAGTAGTAGTTTTCTTTTTATATTGCTAGGGTTGAGCACCCAAGTTATCAGTAATCAGTAATCAGTATCACAGATCTTCTAAGGAGAGCCCATGCTTGACCTTCTTTAGCAATGACCTTTGCTCAGAAGGATAAACTGAATAGATATTGGTTTTCCTCCTTTTGAATCACAGAACAGTATCCCTTAGAGGTAACTTTTTTTGATATTTAAAATCTGTGATTCAAGTATTGCTGTTCCCAAGAGGGCAGTGTTTGGGATGGGACAAGAGAGAGAGGTAAGAGGGTAACGCTTGGCAGAGTAAGTCTGCAAATGAATTGGAATTATTTGAGAAAATGAGAAACGACAATTATAAAAGCAAGAATTACTGATACTAAGAGAGAAAAAAATAAATTACCTCTACCCAAACAATTAATTTTTTAAGTGTCTATTTCTGCATATTCTAATCAGACTATTATTAAATTCACATAATTTATGGAAGTAAATATGCCCATTTAAACTGGCAGCTGCTTTGTGGATAGGAGAGGATCTTCTGAAAAATATGAAGGTGTCTGTCAAAATCCTTCACAAATCACAGTCCCTCTGGGCCTCAGTTTCCCCCTCAGTAAAATAAATAGAATAACCTGACTTTTTTTTTCATTGAACTGCTACATTAATGCATCTTTTTGTAAATCCTGTAGAAAGTTACAAAATGTTCTGATGTTCTTGGGTTGTTGTTGTTCTTAGCATTTTCTATTTTGAATCCTTGTGCATTTTTAGATGGGAGGCAGAAACGGGTCATTCCCTAGTGATTTTATTATGGAAGTCTTATATAAGGACTTGTAAGTCTGCAACTGCTCTTTTCCTTATCAGTGACAGATTTAGCCATCACTCATTTATGAGTACTTTATTTTATTTTATTTTATATTTATCTGTATTTATTTTGATATATCACAGTGACTTCTGCCTACAGGCTATTACCTTGACCTGTAAAAAGACCTTTTATTAGTATTTCTGTTGGAAAAAAGGGTCCTGTCACAAAAGACATAGTGGTAACCCAAAACATCAGGAATTTTGACCCAAGAAACCAAATCTAATTAATCAGAGATTGCAGCTCAACCCAGTTTTCTGTTCAACAACAATTTTGATTAGTAAAGCTAGAGGCAAATAAGACCTTTTCCTTCAGTTCTTAAAAAAAAAAAAGATGAAAATGCATGTATATGTTTGACAGAGCTGGTGCACATATTGTGGGTTACTTTTGCTTAGGCTGGATGTTCTTGAATCACAGAACAACTTTAAGACCATTTACAGCCTGTTCAGTGATTAAGTAAATGAACTCAAGCAAATGAACTACTGGGTACATTCCCAAACTCTCAGTAGAGTTTATTGAAACTGATCAGTTTAAATAAGCAGTAAATTGAGATTCACTTCAACCTCTACCTATTTGTTGAACAGAATTAGAGAGAACACCCCCTAGCTCACAGAGAAGTAAAGCTGGCTTTCAGTGCTGACAGGAAGTGAAAATGTTTAATGTGTACATGTTGGCAATTTACATTCAGTGTTGGGAATAAAAATCAAAATAAAAAACCACATGGATGTCATCTGGAGCTCCAGAGAGCGGGACACACATCAGCTCAGCAGTGACTGTGCTTATGTTCTGTATGAGGAACATATATTCACGTCAGCACTTAAAACTGCAGTTGTTAACACATCTTGAACTGAAATTAATTTTGGGCCTCTGTGGAGAGAAATAAAAGACAGATATTCTTAGAATGTAGGAAATGTGCTAAGAAGCTGCCTTACCTCCATCTAGTTCTTCAGCTCCAAAATGATTTCTGTAGAAGAGCATAATCTCTATCTTGTAACACTTGTAGATAGTCACTAAACAAACAAGCAGCAGCAGAATAGCACCAAGCCCACCAGCAAGCTCAACTGTGTACATCAACTCTGCAAAGAATTACAAAACACAGTAACAACCAAACATCCCAAACCACAGAGAGATTAGCAGCAGACCTTGCACTTCTGTTAAACATTAAAATAAAATAATGAATGATAGGTTATTTATATATTTATTTCATTATAAAGCCCTTGAATCAACCTAATTGATGGGTTTTATATTCTTCAATAAGCTGTTTTTTCCCTCTGATACACTGTAGGAATTGGTCATTTAAAAAATAAATTTTGCTGGGGATATTTGTGTGTGTGTGTGTGTCTTTGTCTATGAGTATGTGCATATACATGATATATTTTATAACTCTCTTCCATTATCTTTCTGTAGCTAGATCACAGTTTGCTTTACCTAGATAAATGTTGCCATTTGACTAAGAGTGAAAGAAAAGGCTAATGTTTCCTTTTTGAGGACTACATTGCAAAACCAGGTCTTCCCTTATTCCACATACAAATAAAATGTGGGAAAACTGGAAAAGATTAATGATTTAATTATTATTATTATTATTATTATTATTAATAATAATAATAATAATAATAATAATAATAATAATAATAACCTCACAAAACACTTGAGATGTGAAGACACATTATCCAAAGAACCCTACAACCTCACATCTCAGTTACATTTATGTTAGTATGTTTAACAATGTCCCAGAGGTCTGCAGTTTATTCTCACTTTTCCCCCAGTGCACATAGTTAATGTGGAGACAGAGCAAACAGTCCTGCTTTGTGTGTTGTGACATTCCCATTCAGACCAACTCCTCGGTGTCCTCACTGATGTCTGCTCACAGGATGGATTGAGATCATGGAGCTCCGTTCCTGAGGACAGGGAGCAGTCACTTGTGGCCACCATAAGTGTCCAGCACCAGCAGAGGAGCCACTTTTCAGGCCTAAGGTTCTATGCTACCATGGACTTTTGCCTCCCCCAGTTTGAAGGAAGCTCACAGAGCTTTGTTACTTTCTATTTGCTCATTGACTAAAAACTCTTTAGTGTCACAAAAGAAGGGCAGGAGGAGAGGTGCTAACAATTTTGTAATTTGAAATCACTAGATGGCAAGTCTGAAGATCTTCCTTGCTTTTCCAAATCACCCAGTTTTGAGCAAGGAAAAACCACCAGATCTTGGAAATCTAAGATACAGAGTTTGCTTCATAGAACATCTGTGCTGGAACAAGTATTCTTTGTGAGTGAAGTAGTGTGTACCTGGAGTAACCTTTTTTTGTGTATGTGTGTGGTTGTGGAGATTTGATAATCCAGCACAATACAATTCAATTAGAGAAATAAAAGGTTAGAGGAAAAATTGACAATCGCATTTATTTGACAGCTTATACTGAGAATCACACACCTTTTTTTTTTTTATTATTATGAGGCAACTGTAAGAAGATTTCATTGCTCTCTAGAAGACACTAAAAGTGTAATAAAATAAAATAAAAAGGCATTTATATTCCATGTCATTCTTCCCAAAACTGTGCTGGAAAACTCCTTTGTGTTAGATATTTTTAAGACTGACATGGTTATTTCAAACTCCCGATACTTTTCTGGTCCAGAGAGGGAAATGTTATTAGAAACATTTGACAAAATATGGTTTGCATAGACAAGTAATGCAGTATTTTAGAATATAAATGGAAATGGAAATTACTCTGCACTGGCTTACTATACCTTGTTTATCATTTTGTAATACAGGTGATGCAGCTGTTCAGTGGTAACTAGAAGAAAAGCTTCAATATTTCGGGTTGCTAGGTGCAAAGTATTCTATGTGCCTGCTGTTATGACTCAGTAAAGGCAAAGAAAAACTTTACAACTGGAAAACAGAAGTTTTTTCTAAACTAATGATTTTTATATTAAATGGAAAGAAATAACCGCAGGTATTCATCTGTTTTCTGCCACTGTGCATGAAATCAAACTAATACACTGCATCATTTTTGCCATCAGAGTTCCCCTTAGTTATATGTTTCCCCATAAAATAAGATTATGCCTTCATATTTGCTTCAGTAAAATCTATCTGAAAGCACATGAAACTGTCCTTAATTAGGCCATCAAAGCAAATGACAAAATTGTCTATGCCTGAAACATATTAGCAATTACCTTTCCATGTGTTGCTGCTGAGCTGCCGTGATCATACACAGATAAAGTGATTCTTTTTAAACAGATTTGTTTGCAAAAGAAGTTTCATGGTCTATTGATCTAACAGAGCCAGCTTGTACTTTGTGCTGGACAGAATCCATCAGCACATGTTCACTCTGCATTTTGGGTGCAGTTTGTCAGGGTTCAGATGCAGAGAGGGGGATTGATTATCCCAGCAGATTGCTGCACCCTTACACCCAGCCCAAGGGATGCCTGAGCTCGCCCCAAAGGGCTGGAAATGGGACAGCCACATCCGTGCAGGCAGGGGGATTGGCCTGGGCACAGTGTCACACCAGGCTGATGCTTTTCAGGCCTTGAGTTTGTGTTTCTGCAGGATGCTAAACTGTGCCCTAAAAGTTTAGCCGCTGGATGGCTCTGAGATGCCTCAGGGATTTTAGGAGCAGTGTTACTCTGTGTTGAGCTGAGCTAAGGTGCAAGAAGCAGAAGGCTCAGTCCTGCCTCTGCTGTTGGCCCCTGAGGTGACTGAGGCCATTTCACATTTCTGTGCCTTGGTTTTCCCCATGTGCACTGGGGAAGGTGCTCTGCCTCCTCCCCAGGAGAGCTTACTCCTGAAAAATGCTCTGTGGGTGCCAAGGGTGTTGGTGATGTGCGTGCCAACAGTTTCAACAATGATGTAGTGACTGCTAAAGACAAGTTAAAGAGTAGCAGCAAGGTCGCAGCCCATGGTTACCTTCACAATAACATTTTTTTCTGCTGCTTTATTCTGCCTTTTACTGTGCGATTTGAGCACAGTTGCTGCAGCAGGCATTACACTCCCTTTGAAGTGTGATCAGTTTTTCCTACTGAAATTCAAGTTTCCTGTAGTGGCTACATACTAAAAAGATCCAATTTCTCACGATTCCACATCAGAAGCAAGACATGAGAAGTGCAAACCTTTTAAAATCTATTTAGCCCCCGTCTTGCATTGCTCAAATTACAGACGTGGCCCTCCTTAAGGAGCTGAGACTGAATGTAGAAAATAGTAAAGGAAAATTACTCGGCTAACCCTTGGGGGGACAGGCATTCTGTTAAACACAACAAACGAGCAAGTGCCAGAGAGTTACATCCAGAAGCACAGCAATCATTTAGTTACAGGCAATTAACAATAGTCTTCCAGTAGCACAGGAGTAGTTCTACTCCAAGGAAAACACATTGATTGCTGCAGCAGTAGTAGATTGGCTTCTGAATAAATAGCTTCAATTTAAAAGAAGATTTGTTACAAGCATTTTGACCAATGGCTACAATTTTTTTCCTTATCAGGAGGCTTTGGCCAAGCTACTCAGTGAAAGAGACAGCTAATTAAAACAAAGCACATACCCTCTCCAAATATCTAGCATAAATGTCTTGTAATAAATGCACTCATTTTATACCTTATCTTTCCTAATTACTGGACACATTTGTAGGCTATATCTTTGATCCTCACCTGGGTCTAATATTTGATAAACTTCCTTTCAGTGTGTCATAAAGGTCATTCACTTATCATAGCTGAAGTTGTAAGAAGAAAGTAAATAAAAGTGTTCTGTCAAAGATTCATATATTTTGACTTATATGACATGCTTCAGGGGCTTTACATTTAATGATCTGTAAAAATTTAAAGTTAATTTTATTCATTAATTAGCCTTCATAAAACTGAAATACTGAAAAAAAGAATTATATTTCCAACATTCTTTTTTTTATAACTCTTTGAACACATGTGATTTATAGCTGTGTATTCAGTTTCTGAACCTGTTTCAAAATCCAATTACAGTCTATCTAAGTTTTCAATTTTGCAATCACTTACGCAGATTGCTCAACTTCATGGACTATAAGTAATGCCTCTGAAGTCAACAGGACTATTCACAGAGCTTCAGGTTAGCACATTAATAAATCTTTGCAACTTTTTGACCTAAACTGATTTCCATTCTCTGCTTGTCTTGGATGATTTAACTCACAAAGAGATAGGGTTTGGTTAGAGGCAGTTCTCAGTTTGTTTAGGTATACTTTCATAGACTTCCATTATTAAAGGAACCATAAAGATACTGAATATAATTTGGAAGGGGAGCAGGGACTGCTGTGTTTTACCATGCAGGTTTGGTTATGAACAGGAATGTTTCTTCCAAAGGAAGAGGGAATCTGGCTAACACAGGAACACTTTTCTGAGTGTCATTTCAGAGATCAGCCATAAACAGTAGGCAGAGCTTAAGTTAGCAACAAAGAAACTCATACGCAGTTTTTAAATGAAGAAGTGTGAATTTTTTAACTCTTTTTTTCTTTTCTTTTTTTTTTTTTTTTTTTCCCTTCTTAATACAGTATTTGTCATGGCATGGCTATTAAACAAATTATCTTCCCAAAGTATCACATATGGAACCATGGCTTTATAAGTGTACACATGTCCAATACATATATGTATAAAACCTATTCTCTGTTTTTTTAGGAATTTTTCTTTGTTTTGTTTCAAATTGCCAAAAAAAATCTGTTTGTGTTAAAGGTACCTAGTTGGATATATGTGAATATCCTATATGGATATCCAGTATGGATACTGTTATGGATAATAACTGATTGATATTGCAGGACAATAGTACTGTTGATAGCAGTAGAAGTGGATTTGTGCTACTCATTAGCTTGGTTATGAAATAATTTCTTAGCACAAAGGATATGCTTTCTGCTAGCATGGGCCATGTGTGCCTGTGGATGTCTACAGTTAACTGAAGCCTAAATTTAGTCATGATTTACAAAATTACTTTCAGTGCAGTAGTTTCATTTTATTTATTAGAACTGTTGGGACCTGGTTGTCTCTCTTTATTTTTTATAACAATAAATAATATATATTCCTGATTTCCTTATGAAAAAGAACTAGTCAGGTTTGGGATTATATAAACAGAAGGATATATGTGTG